GGGGCCAACACCGAAAGCGGCTTAGTCTTCTTTGTTCGGGCCACCGCCACGAGGCCGAAGCTTTGAGGATCGCCAACCGTTTCACCGTCCGAATATTCGACGCATCATGCAAGCACCCGCCAGCACATCGTCATCTTCTTGATCAAGCATATTGTTTTTGGCCACTAGGTCTTCAGCTTCCAGATGTTGCGATGGCAGTCGACCCTCTGTCCCCGATCGCGCCTGCGCGCATTAGGGCCTTGCTTCTCCCCGTGGGTCGCATCAAGCGTTCGCGCTTCATAGCCTTTGTCGACCTCTTGCAGCAAGAGTCGCTGGTTCGACTGGGCGATATCAGCCCTGATCCGCGACCTGACCGGAGTATGAGCCCTCATGTGCCAAATCAGCTCTGATGTTTGCTGATCTTGGCAACGATAGATATGTTCTCTCCTTTAGCATGGCCTGACGGAACTTTACTTTATGACTTATCGACTTCTATGCCATCAGCATCTCATCTATCACTGTCACCTTTCGAACAGTTCAGAGAGCCTCTACTGGTCATCGGAATTGGGGACGCGTCCGAATATGCCTGGCTGCAGCCATCACGTGGGACTGATGGAACCCCAAGCACGACATTTGAAGAGCCTCCAGCCGGCGATGATGAAGCCAATGCTATTCGATTCGGTATCGACGATCTCAGAGAACAGTTTCCTCGGGCATATCTCCACAGCATCATGCTGTTTGATTCAGCAACTCCATCACGACATCCGCGCCTACCACAAGAGACACTCTTGATCCCGCCAAGATCACAGCTAAAGACCACGACGATGAAGACTTTCATGTGCGATCTGACTGCAACCTTGCTGGCGGAGATGACCACACTAGCAAAGTCCATACAGGCACTTCCTACTTTAGTTTCGCCCGCTTCTCAAAATGGCACAGCGGAGCTCACGCCAAGCTGGGCCGCATCTGACTCTACTTCACAATTCTCGCGTCGCAACTCGCAAACACCAAGTGGGAGTAGACCGGAGTCACCCGTAGGAAATGCGCTGAAGGACGGTCACCGCGCGTCAATGCCTGTCTTGCCATCGAGTTCCGGAGGACCCCTGTCTACCGAAGACCCTAGGACCGCTTCATTGAGCGCACAAGGTACACGCACACCCCCGACAACCTTCGACGAAATTTCCGGTATCAATGCTGCCAATACGCTTCACCAAACAAACAGCAATCCCGCCAGGCCTAGCTCCGCAACCAAGAACGCAGCGGACCGCGTGTCGATTACAGGTTTTGGTTCCGGCGGGGTCGGTGAAAGAGCTCGAAACAAGGGACGCGGTCGTATTGGGATCGTGATCGGTACCTTGTACATGTGCGCAGGCCAGTGGGTCGAGGCTGTACGAGAGCTCACAGAAGCCGCGACAAGAGCACGTGCTCTAAGTGACCATCTGTGGCATGCTAAAGCTCTCGAACACATCATGGTCTGTATGCTTCTCTTTGCATGGTCAGGCATGGACTTCCAGGTTAGTCTAACTCTTATATGCTGTCAGTCTAATCGTTTTACTGACTATTAAGATACCCCCAATCTGCTATCCGACATCCGATAAGTCTGGAGGCAACAAGTCACCCACTCACACACCGTCGAGTAGTGTCTCTGACGTTTCGACTCCCGCCAAACCTCACAAACATGATAACGCACTGGACGCTCTGAACTCCATGCTTCCAGACATGGTCAACATGATACTGAACCTATATACCCGTGCGGCCAATTTCGCTGGCGAATCTTTGCCGCCGCTCGCGTTTTCGGAATGTGTAATACGCTTCTCCAAGTTGCTGGCCGCCATCAACTTGTCCGGAGGCTTTCTAGATGATGATGCATTGCGCCAGCTTGTGCAGAATACGCCATACAAGCAAAAGCCACGCCTTTCGGTTCCGAGGCTTAGTGTACACCCTACGCGTAATGATATAGCCTCTATGCTATTCCGTGCATTACCTGGACCAGCCGAGAGCTCGGGCATGAATCCCACAGACCGCGTCGTAGTGCTTGCTGGTGTTGCCTCGATCTTATCGTCCTTGGGGCTACAACGCAAGAAAGCCATCGTCATGAAGGAGTTTATCACGTCTTTGGTTCCTGGCTTGATACAGGCCCGCAAGGTTGGTGCAGCAGAGATGGGAGTACATCCAGCTGCTGGCCTTGCGGCTCTCAACATCGCAAGCGGCGGAAGCTCCGGGAGTGGTGCTCTCAATCTAGGCGAAGGCGAAGTCGAGAATGGGATTGAGGAATTCCTAGGCTTGCTAGGCCGGATATATGGGATACCGAACTCGAAAGGAAACATGCCCAACATCGGGATGCCCAGTCAGAGAGATGAGAACGCGGAAAGTGCATCGGACAGTATTGCTAGTCAACGCGTCGTTGACACCATACTAGCGATATCGTCTTTGCGCTCTTTCGGAAGTTTGAGTCTCAAGCTAGAGATATTACGAACGTGTCTGAGTTTCTGCGAAGCATTACCAGACTTTAATGGCGTCCTCCATTTCACTGCTCTCTTGCTTCGGGTGGCGGGTCCCGGAACAGCACCGAGACCTAATAGCACCGACGTGTTCGTCTCTCTGCCCCGAGATGAGCAGATCCGACTCTACTCCAACATTTCGAGAACCGTCACTGCCGCTAAGAAGCTTGGACTACAACATGTAGAAACAGAATACTGGGATGACTTCCTCGTGCGCGGGTTGTTCATTCTCGAGGAAATGGAACCTCTCCGCTTAACTCAAAGACAGGGGATCGAGTTGAAGTCGGACAGCCAAGGAAAAGACGGCCCTTTTCTTCACAATGCCTGGCTGAAGAAGCCGCAAACAAATGCTGCAAATACAGTCTTGGTTGCGAATGAGCACTATCGCTTCGTCATAGCCATGCAGAATCCATATGAGTTTGAGCTTGGCGTAGAGTCGTTGAAGATAGCTGCTGAAGGTGTTGAGTTTGTCGCGCTGGAGGAACACTTCCTACTGGGCCCTTACAGAACTCAGAAGTTTCAGATCACAGGGACTGCGCGGACATCAGGATCGTTGAAGATCATTGGATGCTACGTCAAGCTTATCGGCTGCAGAGAGCGGCTGTTCCCCATATTCCCAGAGCCATGGAAGCCAAAGAGAGAAGCTAAAATGAAGCGCATGGGCCTCAAGGCATGTTTAGGGGCACCGACATCCCGGCCCTCCTCGGCAATCGCACCATCCATCGACAGTAGAGCAACTTCTCAGCCAAAGCCAGAGTCTTTGACGTTTTCGGTGATCCCAGACCAGCCCGTCATTATAGTCACCAATGTTTCGTTACCACAATCAGCCGTCATGGTGCTCGAAGGCGAAAGGAAACGATTTACTGTTACAGTGAAGAATACTTCGACTGAAACAACTGTCGACTTTGTCCACATCTCCTTCCAGGATACGGCAACGACTGCGATACAAGCGGCGACTTCCAATAAAGACTTGCCTGCAGCCGAATTGCATGAGTTGGAAGTCCAGCTCGCCCATCATCCGTCCTTGCGCTGGTGCAAGGATGAGGCCGAGGAATCACCGAGCATCAAGCCTGGCGCTGAAGCGCAGTTCACCATCGAGGTTATCGGTCGCACAAGACTGACGGATGCGACTATACAAATCGACTATGCTAACCTTGGAAAGCGAAGATCGGAAGTAGAGGAGCACTTCTTCACCCGTCAAGTATCCGCGCCCATCTCGATCACCGTCAATGCGAGTGTGCAGCTTCAGCGGCCAGACATAGTACCCTTATCTGGCGACATTGCCTGGTCTAGCGATGCATCGTCAAGCTCGCGCACTCATTCAGATGACGAGGCCTTGCAATCACGGTCGTCTGGCAAAGCCGATGGTCATCTTCGGTCTTTCATCAGTCAAAGGCGGAGTGATGATAGCGACGAAGAGTACTGCATGCTTCTATTAGATCTTAGGAACTCCTGGCCAAACCCGCTCTCGATATTGCTTCAAGCCCGGAAGCCCGTGGCTGATGGCAATTACACCGACGACTCATGGGACGAAGCGCATAGTGTGAACGAAGTCATACAACCGGGGCATGTCAGCAGGGTCGTCATGATCCTTCCAAAGGTCTACTTGAAAGCGCCACATGCAGCTGTACCATCGCTCAACCCCGCAAACCAACGCCAGTTCGTCGTCAGCACGAGCAAGATCTCTCCCGAGACCGAACGCGCGAGTCGAGAAGCTTTCTGGTACCGCGAAGAGCTACTCAAGATCGTGCGCGGCACGTGGACGGAAGACGGCAACGGACGTCATGGAGAGCTGGAACTGCGCAGCATCCGCTTCACGACGCGCATGGTCGAGGCTATCAAGCTTGACGATCTCGCCATCGAAACCACCATCGCCTTCGACTACCCTGCAGCGGGCGGCGAAGAAGTTGTGCGACAAGTCGGCCGCGCAAAGTTCGAGGTGCCGATAGACGAGTTCCTCACCATGAAGACCTTCGTCCGTAATCGAAGTCCACGCCCTGTTTCACCGATACTCAGACTACAGCCTCATGTCGCCGGGCTTCCCCACAACGTTGCCTTGGATCTAGACAAGCGCTTCTCGTGGACAGGTGTGCTGCAGCGCAAGTTGCCGGTCATACAGCCTGGAGAGACGGTGGAGTCTGAGCTTGGCATCGTTGCGTTGTGCGGGGGTACATACGAAGTCGGCGCAACGGTCGACGAAGCGGAGTTCATCAAGATGAGTGGTGGAGACGAAGACGATAAGAAGAACGACGATCAAATGTTACTTCAGGGGGGCAATGTTGTGGGCGAGCCGAGGCTACGGACTTGGTACATGACGGAGCCGTGTACTATCGTTGCGAAGAGATGAGGCGGGGAGGAGGTTAGAATAGATGGATGAGATAGATCTTATGATGCTTCTTTCACGTATCATTCTCCAATCAACGACAGTTCTGTGATCAGATGATGATGAGCAGCAAACTTTGAACAAGGTATATGGGTTGACACTCCGAGCGCTTCTGACATGAGCCAAATCGCCCCAGTATGCCCAATTTACTTAGTCTACCTACCGAATTGATCACGCTCATCGGTTCGTTTCTCAGGGCAGGAGTCGTAGGCCTTCTCCGCCTCGTCAACAAAGAACTTCACACAAAGACGTGGCGCAGCTTCTGTCTTCGCTTCCAAACCGTGAAGGTATCTCTCATCCGCATCAGCATACAAGCGCTGAGTGATGCAGCGGCATCCCCTGACATCGCCAACGAGATCAAGCACATGATCATCGGCACCGAAACTCTTGAACAATACGAACATGCACCGACGTCATATCCCCGTGCGCTACGTGCCATGATAGCCAACGAGGGCAAGGCCGTCGACTTGCGCATTTGGCTACAACATATCATCGTCCAAAAGCTGCCGAACCTGCGTATAATCACACTAGAAGATCGTCCCGAAGATCCAGATAGCGAATACTACCGTCCAAGTATGGGAAGCAGAGAGCTCCTGCGAAGAGCTGGCGTTGATCTGAGCTTAAACGGACCGTACGGTCTATCAATCTGGGACAACCCCCGTCGAGGAGACGATCGATCCTTCCCCTTGGTATCGCGATTGCTGGTATTTGCGACTGTGTTCAGCATGTTGCGCTATCTAGACACTGAAAGTATGGTAATGGATTTCCGGATCGTGATAAGAGGTCATCGGATTCGGGGGCAGGAGGAGAGCGATATCAGAGAAGCTTTTGATATAACAGATAAGTGTACTAAAGAGGTACTTGACGCTCATCTTACGCAGATTACGGTGGGTGAAGATGAGAGTAGGTATCTTGTTACGGATCGGTTTTTGGAGTTTGTGCAAGGTCTTCGCGACTTTGCGCTAGGTAAACGTATTCTGTTGATTGAACGGTCGGCTGAGGGGCAGTTTGCCTGAGCTCACGGGTTATGAAGGGCGTGGTTATTGTCTCAATGACCTGCGGTTTATGACTCCTTAGGGAGAATGATATTGCGCGAGCTATCGCTATTCGCAACAATCGGTTGTCTCAAGCTCTGAACCCTCGGCGTCTACATGTCGCTCAATGTCTTCTTGCTGGCCAGGCGACGCCTGTGCATGCGTCTCTGCTGGACTACCACTGTCTCTGACGCTCGCTGGTGGCGCTGACGCCTGGCTCGCTGTCGTCAACAGTCGAGTGAGCTCTTCCAACTTGTTCTTGACTTCATTCTGTTGCTGTGAGAGCTGCTGTAGTACCTTTTCACTCTTCTCAGCCGATCTGTGCACTAGTGAGCTAAGTAGCCAAGAGGCGTCTTGACTACACTTACGAGTTCGCCATTGAGACCTGAAGACACAGTATTTGTGATTGCAAGACGCCCCTGTGACGCACCTTCTCTGAAACCGTCTCTCGCACACGATACCAGCGTATCAAAGTTGGAGATGAACCGGCCGTCAATATCCTTTGCGACGCATATAGGAGTGTTTCCGTGTATTTCCAGTGGCTGGGGAGAAACCTGAGTATAAGCAGGAATATGTTACCCATAGAAGATTCCTGCACTGGAATACCTGAAATCTCTGCCAGTGCATTATTCAACGCCATATAGCGGCTTGTATCGACAGCATCCATCAAAGTGGACAACACACTTTGCACGCTGTCTACTAACTGATCACTGTCGTCGAAAGCCTTAGCGTGCATACAGTAAATGTAGATGACTAGTTCGGTCGCGATCAAATCCAAATCCAGATGCTTCAATCGACGAATGTTGGGCCCATCGTCTCGCTGCATGGCGTGGCTTTTCCGGAGTTCCGATGGATTTTGACGGTTCATCCTCATCAAGTCGTGGACATTGTCCTGAACAGATTTTAGAGTAATCACCAGTTCGAGGTTTCCACTGCGTAAAGATACGATGCGGACATATATGGATGCCAAGATGGCAACGGCGAAGGTAAGGATACCGGTGACATTGGCGGTGATCGAAAGTGGACTATCCTCCATCGGGAATGGCGTGGGCAGGCGTGCCGAATCAAGCGCTAGCTTGAAAGGTCTGGGATGTGGCCGCGTTCGTCTGACTTTCGACTTCGCAAATTGAATTAACAGCACGATGATAGAAACGGAGAAAACGATGTATGTTGATGAAGGCTGGCGTTGCACGACAAAAATTCTTCAGCTGACCCCTCCACTGAAGTCAGGAGCGGCTGCGTCGTGGCGTCCGACGTGGCCACCTTATCTCGCATGCACGCTTCAGCTTTGCAGCCCATGCATGTCGACGAAAACATCGCAACTACACTGTCACCGGTATTAAGTCCTATGGCTTTGTAGTTTCCCGGAATGGCCCCATGATTTCCGGTACATCAGCAGATTGCCAGCCGCAAAATGACTCACGGCGCCATCCAGCGATCTTCATCATCATCACCATCGTCATCATCGCCCCCGCAGGACGCGTCCATCCGGGTAAAAGCCTCTATGGGTCATTGTAGCACCGCTTTTGAACGTCCTGCTACAGTGTCTCCACCACTCACAGTCCGTGCGCGGAAACATGTATTTCAAGTATTTGGGGAAGCCCGAGCGGCAACAGCACATAGAAGGTTGCTCAATGAGTTTTGAAGAAACAACCTAAACGGCCCTGGGTGCACGTAATAGGCTTTTCGGCGAGCCCAATATAGTGGTGGAAGATAACAGGACGGAGAGAGCGGGCTAACAGGCCTTTTATATTACCAACAAGCGAGTTATGCCACATAAGTAGTACCCTTCTACGTTTCGAAACGTCTGGCCGCGACATCTAAAGGCGTACATGTTCTTTTTGGAAGCATGTGGCGTCGCTGCCACAGCTTTCGGCGCTCAAGCTCATGATATCTGTGCGACGTTGTTTGAGGACGCAGCAGGAGCGCGCATACCGGTCTTTGTGGGGTATTTTGAGGTAACAGTGCTGCACTAGTCATGACAGCTATGTCGTCTTGTTTGAGTAACCAGATTCTTAACAGTCAAGTTTGTGGAGGAAGCAGACAACCATGGCGGTCATTTGTTGCAGTTTCTCGTTGATCGCCAGCAGCAAAACATGGATTCTTGTTGCCGTAGTTTGAACATCTGTGCTTGATGTGGTTTCCGGCGGAGGATGACATTCCTCGCTCATGCCAGCAAAGCTTATTCATTTTTGAAGAAGAAAGGACGAGCAGCCAAAGCACTCATGGCAGTGAACCGATAAACTTTTGAGAAAGAGCCGGAGAGGTCATTCTGCGTCAGTTGCGTTGTTTTGGAAAAGCCAACAAGAGCGTGGAATATAGAATGGAGAAATCTATCAGCGAGGGAGGAGCTTTTATACACGCAGCGCTCGCGCTAGTCATAGTTGTAATCGCTGGAACATTTCGGAATCGCATCATGAGACTTTTGTAAGATCGCAACGCGCCGATCATAGCCGGCGTCCTGGCAAAATTTGTTGCACAAGACCAGAACTCGCCATTAAACGTCTTGTTCTGGTATTTCGAGAATTGAGTAGAATGTAACTTTTGAAGTCAGACTGACAAGTCGGAAGACTGTGTAAGCGTCGCCCAAAGGCGAGCCAAGCCATAAATCCGACGCATGCGAGATTTTGGAAAAGAATGCGAAGAAATCTGGTGTAGAAGAGAAGAAGCAGAGGACTCGCGGAGGTTTTATACGCGTTCCAGCGTGCCGCTGAAGTCATGTTGTATGCATCTTGGTTTTTCAGAGGCACGCTGCTCATGTATATACCCCACAGTCGTCTTTCGGAACTGGTCCTGGTTCTCCTTCATCATGGCTCCAATGTATTTGGCGACAAGGGAAGAAGAGAGGACATAAACGGAAAAAATTAACGTTTTAAAAAGCGGACAAACGTCCATGCGTGCCAATTCTCGTGATTTTGGTAAAGAAAAATGAAGGAATTGGTATGTAAAGAAGGCCAGGAAGGTGCAATGGCAGAAGATCTTTTATACCAAGCTTCTGAGGCATGAATGCGGCAGACCTCGGCCCGCGAGATCATAGCCATTTCCTGAGATTGATTTGAGAAGCAAACTCCGCATGACATGTTCCTCCAGTATTTTGAGTATGATGTAGCTGCGAGAAGGCAACTTTTGTAACGACTGCTCGAGGAGAGGACCGAACAGACATTCGTCATGGCTAGAGCTTTTTTGAGAAGAAGAGCGAACAGCACATGCATGGGAACGATTAAAGTTTTGGAGAACCGCAGAAAGAGTGTAATATAGAAAGCCAATCCCCAAGCCAACGAGAGAAGGCTTTATACCACTGTCTATAGTCCCGAGACCGACATAAATTTGGCGACTACGGGTTTTGTCGACAGGCGCTTCTCATGAGCCAATTGATTGAGCTGTTTGGTGCTTCCCACGAACACTCCGACATGGGTATTCGCACATGTGGTTTTAGAAAGGCAGAAAGAAAGGTCAGCTCATCGTACAGGATGAAGGCGTTTTCTGGACGGGAGAAGAGCCATGAAGCGAATATTTAGTCATTTTGGAGAAACACAACGGAAACGAGGGAGTAGTGAAGAAGACCAGAAGTGCGGGATTGAGAAGGTTTTATAACTGCAATGGCGTGTTTCCAGATCCTCTGCTCTCGATCATTCAACATGACCTTGTAAGTTTTTGAAAGAAACGGTACTTTGAGGAGAGTCCATGGATCAGCGCCAGATCTGATCTCCAGAACATGTACCGTACGTAAGGGCTTTTTGAACGTCGGAGTGACAGCGACAGCCCGAGAGCCGCAGACATGTCGTAAACCGGTAAACGTTTTAGAAGGAAGAAACTCAGAACAGCCATGGATTCGAAATAAGTAAGTTTTGGTAAAGCCACAAAAGGAGTGGTGTATAGGAAGCAAGAAGAAGAGAGGGAGGAGAGGAGCTTTTATATCTCATCTCCATCTCGTCTTCTCCAGCCATGTGAACGACGTCACGGACTTTTCAGAAGTTTTGCCACTCAGAACAGCCCACTCCATGACGTTTCGCTTGATAACATTTCGAGCCTCACAACACCCCTCCATTTAGGCGGCATTGCTTTGTTTTGTTGTAGGGAGAAGGCGAAAGTAGGACGAAGACTGCACACTCAGCCATCGACACGCGGCGTTTCATTTTTGAGTAAAAGAAGGAGAAGGCCGAGAACAAACATCCCAACGGTCAAGGTCTTCTTTTGGTTGAATGCAAAGAGATTGCGGAGAGAGCGACATAAGATGGGAATCGAGGGAAGCGTTTTTGAATGCGAAGCTTTCAGTCTTCCACTTCCATGCCGTGGTGCTTCCAGTATTTTGGTAAAAGCACACAGGAAGTGTGGTAATAAAGAAGTAGAAGGAAGAAGCAGAGGACCATTTTATACGCCAGGCCGCTATCCCCGTTCTTCATGTACATTGATCGCAAGCGTTTGTTTGCGCAGCGCAAGAAGCGGAGAACTCTCCATCGACACCTGAGTTGGGTTTTTCGATACGGTCTGCGGCCCTCATGAGAAGATTCCAGTGCAGTTTTGGTGGGGTTATTAGAGAAGAGGGCAGCGCAAGCGCACATGCCTCTTGTTGAATCGTCATTTTGGGAAAGAGGAGCAGGAGCCAACATATAAGATACCATGTATCGTTTTGGTATAAGAAGGAGGAAGGTGGTAGTTATAAGAGACACGAAGCCAGGAGAGCAAGAGGAGGTATTTATACATCCCTCATGTCCTGTCCCAAGCATAATGTCCCACTCCAGGGCGTTGAGTATCGAGCCAGCGGAACAAGTCTCCGTCTCATGGGCGGAAGCTTCCGGAGGTTGATTTTCACAACACTCGACTTTCACATGAGCTGAGATCGTCGTATTCTTGGAAGAAGCCGAGGCGGAGAACGCACATAAAAAGATGGTAAAGTGCATTTTTGTGGAAAAACGAAGGCCGGAGCGCACATGAGGTCGTTACGTCCTGTTTTGGAAGAAGAAGGCCGGCGCACACATTTTCCGGTTGCGCCTCACTTTTTGGAAAAGATCGAAGAAAGTGTGCGGTAGTTGGTAGGAAGCAGAGAGACCAGAAGAAGCGTTTTATACATCTACGACAGCCGGGCCGGAGGAGACATCGCTTTTCTGGGCGCGGTTTTTGGAACAGCACAGTCGCTGGCGCCATGGGGTATGTGCTTGGCCATTTTGTACAGGTTCTCAGCGGAGAGTCCTCTCATGGGACTTGGAGGTTGGATTTTAGAGAATAGGCTTGGGAAGACAGGCGGAGGGCTCGCACATGGCTGCATCGCTGGTCATTTTCGAGAAGGCCGCCAGGGCAAACATCATCTTTATTTCTATCGTTTTTGGAGAACGACCTGAAAGGATGTGGTGTAAAGAAGAGAGAAGGTTGCACCCAACAGAGGCTTTATATGCCCCCTAGCGCGAAAAGTCACCATCACATGCACCAAGCAGCTCCAAAATTTGAGTGAAGTGAAGACGCCAAGGTCTAATCATCATTGCATAATCCATCCGATCATCAATCTATCATATACCCACCCCGCAGTCTACGCAAAGAATGATGTAAAGAAAGAAAGAAAGACTCCTGTAAATGCCCATAAACCATCATGTATACTTTCATGAAAGCATCGCAACCAAGCGTCAAAAGAAGCCGTTACCATAGGGCAAGCATTAGGGAGAGAAGAACACAAACCCCCGAAAAGTAATGGCAACAACCCACCATCTTACTCATCTCTAAAACCTTGTTGCAGGGAGAACCAACCATCCATAGTAATATACACATATCGCAAAAACCTTCTTCTAATCCCAATCAAACGACAATCGCTCCTAGTTGTTTGCCAGCGTAGGCGCACGTCTGAGCTTGTAATCCGGCAGATGGTCAAAGTCATCTGTCTCGGAGTTGTATCGCCAGGCTTTGAACTCGACGCCGTAGGGCTTGGGTTCTAGCTGGTACAGCATTCCCAGTGGGCAGTCCAGATCGGCCACGTCCTCGCGCTTGAGGCCCTGGAAGTATGCTAGTAGCACGCGGGCTACGCTGCGGTGTGTGATGAGCAGGCAGTGGTCTGTCATGCGCTCGAGCTCGACGATGACGGGGCGGATGCGGTTGATGACGTCGAGGTAGCCTTCGCCGCCCGGGCCGGGGTATCGGTAGGCGAGCTTGTCGCGTCGCCGTTGGAGGTACTCGTCTGCGTACTTTGTGCGGATCTCTTCGTAGGTCAGACCCTCCATCAGGCCTGCGTTCAGCTCGTCCAGCATGCGCATCTGCTTGACCTCGAAGTCTTCGTCGCAAAAGTATTGCCCTGTTTGGATGCCGCGCTTGAGCATGGATGTCCAGACACAGAAGTTGCGTTGCTCGAGCTCGTGGCTGTAGTATGGGTTCGGAGGGGTGTGGTCGCCTGCTACTGGTGGGAAGTGAGTATTGGCCATCTTGTCTGCCTGCCGAACTGCCCAGTCCTTGCGCTGGGCCGCAATAAAGCGTGTCATCGCCTTTGCGTACTTTTGTCCGTTCTCGCTAAGGTCGGAGTCGCCGCCAATCTTTCCAGCCACGTTGTCCGCTGACTCGCCGTGTCTTGTTATCCAGATCATGCGCGGTGCCAGGTTGAAGTTGAGGAGGTAGTAGACGGCTTGGCCAGCGAGGAAGCCCTTGATCTGATGCGAGATCATCTTCCGGCCAACATCCACCATCTTGACGTACGGCATGTTGTTGTCTTCCTCGTAGTCGCCGATCGGAACGTAGTTTTTCTCGTAAATGGCCACGCGCTTCTTGAAGTCGGCCAGTGCCGCGACCTTGTCCTTGTCCTTGTAATCTGGACCCGACAGCTTGAGGCGCATGTTGGATTCGAGCAGATTCTGGTCTCGACATACGCTCTCGACGAACAGAACGTTGAGTTCTGGACCTGCACGATTCCGTATCCGCTCCATGATCTGCTGGCGCCGCGCGAGTGTGCTGTTGGTTGCATCGAAAATGCCGACAGAGCCACTGCCTTTCAGAATGTAGTCGAGCAGGTCGTCCAGAGTCTCCATGGCGCATTGCTCTCGCAGTGCCGCTGCCCGTTGGTTTTGTGGGTCGAAAAAGTCCGCCGACTGGTCCATGGACTCGTTCTCCTCCTCCACCGCCTCATTGTTCGGTGACGGCGCCTTCGGGCCTGGCGATGTGACTTCGACGCGTGGTGGTGGTAGTGACGGACCCTCTTCGTCATCCTCCGCAATGGCCGTGCTCCCCCGGCGTGGGTCCGGCAGGTTCTGTGGGTCTACGGGCCCATCGTGCGCGGGGTCGCCATTGATAAGAATTTTCGCAGCGATTTGCGGCAGTGTGTCCTGATGCTCCTCAATGGCCTGCTTGACGGACGAAGAGACCCGCTCGAGGTTCGCTTGCGACAGCCGGAACCCACTGTGGCTCGCAGCTACTCTCCGCTTCTCTCCCACATTGAAAATCTTGGTGTCGTGCTGCAGCCAGTTCAAGTACCGGGCCATTTTCTTTGTGATGTATGACTTGCCGCGCGCGGGCAGTCCGACCATGACGATGACGAGCTTGGAGCCGACATCCCGCTGTGCGATCTTGCCGTCGGGGGAGACCTTGGACTTGGTCAGGCCGGGGATATCGAGCGTAGTAGGCCGTAATCGCGGGGTTGACACGGCGGAGCTGTTGCGGGTTATGGCGCTGTTACGGTCAGTGAAGTAGGATGAGCTCTGCGGCGGCGCGTCTCCATACTCCCGCGGGCTTCCCGGAACGGATGGCAGTGGGGTGTCACTCAAGGCAGCGCCTACGCCATCCTTTGTGACCAGAGTGCCATTGTGGTGTTGTTGTTGGACTGGATTCGGTACAGCCTTTAGTTCGCCATTCTGAAGTGCGCGCTCCTTGAGAGCTTGCACGTTCTTTGCAGGCGCAACCGCAGGGAATCTGGGCTCAGCGGATGAGGCGCGCGGAGTGAGGTCGTTGTCGGTGTTTGTGTTTGGCTGCTTTGCGTTGTCGAGAGGGATGGTGAGTTTGCTCATTACAGATCGGGCGTAGATGGAGTGGGAGCTGAGGCGGCGGTTGGTAGTCGAGGTGTTTGAGGAAGCTGAGGATCGACGGCGATGCGGTTGTATGCGATTGACAAGCTCGGTCACCATCGGCGTCGGGACTGCTTCCATGTTCGGCGTCATGCCAAGATGTCGAAATTCTTATGTCAAGCTAGCCTGGCCGCTGCGCTAAGATAGCACCCAGGGCGCTGGAGGCGAGTCGCGGCTGCCGGTGCAAGACTGAGTTGCGTTGAGGAGATGTTTCAAAAAAAGCCGTGTGGAAGAAGGGTCTCTGTTGGAATGTCGGGTGGATTTGCAGAAGCAGGCTGATCGGGCCGTTGACCTTATCAAGGGCTGGCTCGATATGACTGTTCGGAGTCGGCCTTTGGTTGAGAGAACCACGGGTACGCCGCTGGAACTAGACCGTTGGCGGAGGACGAGTTTTCAGGAACGCGCGCAAACGCGTTGAGAAATGCATCATCGGCAGTTTATATCTCGCAGCCTGGCCGGTGAAACTGCGATGCAATAAGGCGCGACTTGTCTGCATCCCTCGCCATGTTACAGGCCGCTTGGCAGGTGCAGGTGTTCCTGCTCGAAGCGGACAAACCCCACAGTCCGACTCCGATAACCAATCAATCCACCACGCCTCCCACTGCGCCTCGCGACGATGAATAGAGCACACTTTTACTGTGATCTGTACCCAGGTACAGGCCAAGTTAAGAACCAAAGTAGACCTGACACAAGCCATGGTTCCATTGTCGCGTGATGCTCCATTACTTTCAAGGTGTCTCGCACTCGTCCGATGTCGACCAGTTCGTGGGTGGACCCAGCAACGTCAGCGTGCAGCCACCAACTCCACTGTTGTACTGTATAGGCCAAAGTCCTTGGCGCGCATGTACAGTACACACGCGACATGTATTTCCCCATATTCCGAGAAGCCTCCCAGACGCGCCTTCCGTATCGTGGGGATCCTGAGCCACCTACAACATGCTTGGAGCGATACCGCGCTAGCCTTGTCACCCGTGATGAAATTGCATGTCGAAAAGCAAAAGGTGGCAGTCGCGTCCGAGGAGCAGAGTCAGTGACTATGTCGTAAGCTTCAGCGTCAGAACCAGCAGGCAGATGTACGCTGAGACGCTCAAGGCTGTCAACACAGACACCACATTGCCGGATGTTCGGAACTTCTTCCTGTGCAGGCCATCCTCACCGACTTCTGAGAAGAACTGTTTGTTTCCTATTCGCTGTCAGCACCCGTATTCTCGTCGTCATACATCGGCATGATCGTTCCCAACTGACCTTGTTGTCGCCGGAACAAACTGATGAACAAGATGCCAGCACCGTAGACAGCGAACAGCGCACCGATCGAGTAGAACTCGGCGGTGAAGATCTTTAGCACGACAAGCGCAAAAGAAAACTGGCCGATTGCTGTACGGACGTAGGCGCCTTCGAATGTTCGCTGTGCTGCGCGGATTTCAACCAGCTCTGGACCAGTCAAGATGACTGAGCGTGCGCGATGTAGATGGAGACGATATCTGTCTGCTGCGTGACGGCCCTGGACGTTGTGAGCGGTGGACACTTCTGGGCGAAACATGCAAAGGTCCTACTTCGAACATGGTGACTGTTGCAGGTTCACCAAGATGTGGAAAGATGGCAGTTAGTGGTGATGTTGCTATCCCGGTATTACCTCGGGACACAATCGGGTACGCGATGGATAGCTAGAGGAGACGGGTGACGTAGTGGGGTAGGGAGTATCCCGAGGTTCAAACGACAACGCGTCGACTAACCCGCCAGTACGTGGTTTCACTTCCACGACGTGTATATTCAAGTCGCACGATAATGAAAAGTCGGACTTCGTGAAGATGTCTCGTTCTCGCGAAATGTCAAACGCGGTTAGTTCTACACAAACGCGTTAGCGCGCCTTCCCAAGATGAAGCTCCAGCGACTGACGTTGCTGCAGGGTCCAAGCACCTCCGAAGTTGTTCCTCCGTAACCGTCCCCGCAACCACAAACAATGTTGCGAAAAGTTCAATCCGATATATAATCTCGCGAAGACACCGAATCCAAGTAGAATCGCCATCCCCTTTCAACGAGAAAGCGCTGCATGCGACTTGGCGCCTGGCGAAACTTCACGCAGCGCGTCATATTTCCTTCTGTTAGGACCAGCGTACGGTATGTTCTTATTGCGAGTGCTCGACAACGCGACTTGTCATCACTTTGTAACTTTGGTCTCTAATTGACACGAGTAGGCACTCGAACGACCGCCGGACCCGCTTTACCACCCCATTGTCTCGATCGCACGTAACGTTTGTACGCCCATTTCCGCCCTGGGACGACTACCCCGACACCCGTGTCCACGAAGAGGGAAGAATGGGAAAGTGGAATTACTACGGAGTGAAGGTCGGGCGCAAACCGGGAATCTATACGGATTGGCCGAACACAGAGGCGCAAGTCAAGGGCTACAGTGGTGGACTACAACAGGGCTTCAAGACCCGAGCGGAGGCTGAGGAATACGTCTACGGCCCCAATGGACGCTCTAGTGCACCCATAAGCCTACGAGGGGATCTTTCTGCGTCTGGGTCTCCGTCAGCGACAGGCACTTTTGACAGGAGTAGAGAGATATCAGAGAGTGCGCCTAAGCGACAAAAGAAGGAGAACGCACAACCGGCATTGATCCCAGATCACCAGGAAGTCAAGGTCGAGCCCGGGTACGGCCCCCTCCCACCAGACGCAGTAGACGGCTTCGATCCGAACATCAAGCTCGACGAGCTGACAGGCAGGATCAGGGAGAAGACGCAGGAGGAACTTGGCAAAAGGAAGAGACAGCCGACCGGAGACTCCAAAAGCCCCGTTGTGGTATACACGGACGGCGGTTCGCGGGGCAATGGCAATGCTGGCGCCAAAGCCGGCTGTGGTGTCTACTTCGGCCCACAAGATCCCAGGTTCGTGTGGTCTCCAACAAATTCTTGATCGGGGACAGTCCACTAACAACAATACAGAAACGTCAAAGAACCTCTAAGGGGTGATCTCCAGACCAATAACCGAGCCGAATTAGTCGCAATATCTCGCGCGATCGACCACGTTCCCATCGACCGCGACATGGAGATCATCAGCGACTCCAGATATTCTCGCGACTGTCTCACACAATGGGTCCCAGGTTGGGAGAAAAAGGGCTGGAAGAATTCTCATGGCAAAGATGTCATGAACAAGGAAATCATACAACCCATCCTGGCAAGAATACGAGAACGAGAAAAGGCTGGTGCGAAGACCAAGATCACTTGGGTCAAGGCCCACGACGTCAATCCAGGCAACATCGCAGCCGATAATTTCGCAAACCAAGCTATGGACAATTGGACTGTCGATCTTGCGTCCGGGAACACATTTGACATGTCAGAAACCTTGCGGACGAAGTACAGGAATCCCAACGATCCACCATCGCCGAAGCAAGAGTATGATGTGGAGGAAATGGAGGGGTATTTGCGCCAGCTTGCAGATGAGGACCTGAATGGACTCAGTGATTATCCTTCAGCTGAAGCCGTTAATCAGCCTTCGATTGACGTCGATCAAGCTGCTGCTGCTTCGGCACAGGACGTCGACGACGTGTTTGCTGACCATCCAGCGTTCGCATCGAGGACCAATGGAGAGGAGAAGGAGACGGAACGGGAATTGGCATACTAGATACCCGCCAGCTGCCGAATAGACGGTATGCGGTTGGTCTGGAACCAAATGGGCTAACCATGGTACGTGTATGAGAAATGAATTCAACAACAATACTCCTACAACACCTTTCAAATCTCTGCCACTTTCAACCACTTTCAACCATTTCCACATATACAATCTACATATGGCTTTACCTCACACCATCTACCAACTCCCCACCACCGCCAACACACCAGACCACAACGCAATGTCCCACAAACCCAACCCCATCGTCCCAACACCTCCCTCACGCCTTTCCACACTGACATCACACCTCTCCACCTTCCTCTCCGAAGCAGCATACTACTTCTCCTGGTACATCGTCATCGCCATCGTATTGAAAATGCTCCTCGTCAGCATTGCCGAGGTTATCTACCGCCTTCGCTATTGCGCACCACAAGGCTTCCTTTGGAGAGCATGCGGGGTGCCTCTTCTAGGACTATTAATTGAATTGGTCTTGAAATATGTTTGTGCCACGGTATTCTGGTGGATGCTGGAGATTGCTTGGGAGGAATGGTGATGAGAGGGGGTAGGCGTGAGGAGCTGGATTGGAGGCTTCGTGGTGAGTGTGTCAATGCGCTATGCTATCATCCTGGGTCCTTTGCAGGGAAACTCGATGTGGATGATTTGAGGGGGTCGGTGTACGCGGGTCCGGGGGCAGGCAGGTAAGAGGACGCCTTTCATAGTCAAACGTCCGTACACTACGGTGATGGCACGATCGCGGATGTACGGGCTAAGCACTCCAAGCATCGCACGCCAAGTTCGGAAGACGGCACTGACGTGCGAATGGGAACAAATGTACACACCGGATCCCATTCCGAGTCCTTCGCCACAGGCTAGTCATGTGTGCCTGCACTCGGAAGAACCGGCTACTAACCCCAATCAGGCCACCCACCATCATCATCATCGTGTATAATAATGACCTGTCTTCGCCCCGCTGCACCTACCTCTCGAACTGAGTCTCACGTTCAAACGCACTATCGATACCTCAGTCATTGTCATCCCCTCCCATTATTTAATGAGGTATCCAGTCATCGTGTACGTCTTTTGTATCGTGGGACTCACTCCCAGTAAAACAATATACGACCACCTATATCTCCTCTTCACCGGCTACGCTTTCCACATCTACTTCGTCCACACCACCAAACACCGCCGTTTAAGCATCATGCCCGACAACTTGGACCAATCGCAAGCCCATCTATCCCAATCCGATTCCCAGACCAACTTGGGCAACAGCAGCATGTCCACCACCAACGACATCAAACAACACCGCCGCTACTCGTGGTGGTGCCGCGTGCTCGGTGTTACGCAAGTCGTGCTGCAGACTGTGTATCTGGGGTTGAACTACTGGACAAACGGGCATCTGACGGTTTTGCAAATGACGACGGCGGGGTTGTATATTCTAGGGGCGGCGCTTATGGAGGTCGATTTGAGGAGGAAGGAGAGGGAGTTTTGGAATGTGGTGGAGAATGGGGGGAAGAAGGATGTTGAGAAGGGGAGGCTGGCTTGGGAGGAGGGGGCTGATGAGAAGACGGGGTTTTTGAGCGAGAAGGCGGAAGGGGAAGGGGATAGATACAAGGGCCGGGATGATGGTAAAGAGAAGGTGGAAGTAAGGGCGGAAGAGATGAAGGGGGACTCTGAGATGTGAGTTGCGACTATGGACCTCGTACAACGAGGGATACTAGACGCTTCCGTCGTACAACCTAACAGAGTCTCAGTTTGAAGTTCCCTTATTACCATGTTGGCCTACTTCTCTTCTTCATCGCTTGGACAATCCACTAGAAGCTAGTAGCACTTTGTTGATAACCAAAATCTGTTGTTTGTGCATCAAAGCGTCTTACACTACAGCGACAAGGCGCGTAGGTGCACGCTAATTGCGCAATCTACTTAAAGTTTAGCAAACATGTGTTGTCAAATAAAACAAAGAGCTTACAAGCTCAGCGCTATGACATTCCTCTACCTGAGCGGCTTATCACTTGACTTTGTCCCAAAAAAACCGTCATACTCTCAACCTTTACATACACTCCACAACCCCATCTCTCAACACCCGCCACTTCCAAGTCCGCAATGTGCCATGCATTCAAAAATCTCCTCTCGACGATTTTCTGGTATACCATCCTCGCAATCGCAGTCATAGCCTCAATTCACACGCTTGTGGCCGTCCTTGCTCTTTGCGCATATGCATGCACAGTCAAAGGCGGCGTGTGTATCATTCTTTTCCTTGTCTTTATGGTTGCTTGCACAATCTTCGGTGTAGCGTTCTTTCTGTTCCTATGTGGTATAGATGTATTTGGGATTCATGAGGCTATGCCGTGGGTGGACTAAGTTGGCTGCCAAGGTTGGCAAGAGGTGGACATTTGGTAGCGAAACCACGTGGAAGTCGACTGCGCCCTGCGCGAAAATGAGAAAGATTTATTACCCATGGTTAGGACTACGAGTAACATGGTTGCAGACTGCGGTTTCTAGGCTTCTCCCTGAGTAAGATCTTTATAGCTTGCTTCAACTGCTAAGGAAGCATCTTCTCTTCTCATCATACATCCACACCCTCCGCATCAGCTTTCCAGACATAACGCATTTCAAGATGATGTCACCAGTAGCAAAGTTCGTGCTCCTTTCCACGCTGGCAGGTGGCATCGTCGCGACTTCCTCTCCCACGGCCACTGTTCTTGGCACTCGTGGACTTGCCTCCGACTCAACCTCAATCCCAACGCTTTCCCCATCGCCTTCCACCTACAAGATACCTTTCAAAACTGGTCACGGCCCGGTCGTAATCTCGACTTCAGTCCCTGCATTAACACTGCATGACCCCAAGCTCAGCACACCAACGGTTATATCTTCACCAACATATGAATCAGCGTCATAGTGCGTGAACCCCCTCTTATGCTAAATCTTCCCCTAAATTCATCGCTAACAGTCACAGCCACAACATCTGGTCCAGCAACGAGCACCAACCCGAACGCACATTCCCCCACCACATTCCCGGCGAAATCAGTTCAAGGGAAGGTAAAATTGAAGGCATCACCATCGATACCATGTACGACACCGACTGTCATGGAGACGATGGAGATGCCCACATCTACTTCACCATCGCATACACGAACGGCACACTGGCCTACGACCCGCGCGGCCGACCCGGCCTCTTCGCTTTCACAACCCCCTGGTACATCTCATACCCCAAAACGCTGCGAAAAGCCATCTTCAACGACCCGACCCCATATCGTTCCAAACAGAAGTCCGAGGACTGCAAGCATGGTCACTGCTTCAGTGAGGTACTGCCTGGGTTGCTGTATAACGACGAGCCCGTCAAGTTGAAGCGCGTTAAGAACCCAAAGACGCTGAGACCGTTCACTTCTGATCGGGACTACTTTGCGCTTGGCGAGTGTCACTATGACGACAGCCTACTCGATATCTGGAGGATGAGTGTGTATCTCGGTAGGATTGGATACTATATCCACGGCGCTAATATACCGCCTGCTGTCATCGACTACGTGGAGGACAGAGTACGAACGACGTATCCGACGCTGGAAATCTGCCTGGTTCTCTGGGGGACACTTGGTGCTATTCCGACTCTCATATTCGTCATCGTTCTCTTGGTCTGGTTAGTGAAGATAACAATTTGGCTAGAATATGATGGGCCAAAAAGGATGTGGGCTTCTGCTCAACGTAGCCGTGAGGCTATGTGGAAAGCTATCATCATGGCGCCGGGTAAGGGATGGGATACGGTAAAGGGTCGTTGGAAGAGGGGGTTCAGGCGCCAGAGGAGTGTAGTCGCGCCACCGAATACGGTGCAGTCGACGGCGGATGAGCAGCTGCCGACTTATGAACTTCCCGAGTGGACACCTTCGGAACTTGCAAGGCCGCCGAGTTATCGTACGTATGATGGTGGTTGCGAGGGGTTTAATACTGTTTGAGCGGGTTGAGGGATGTAGAACAGGATAGAAATACAATCGACAGGCTGGGAATAGATATACCGAACAGCATAATGCCACATATGAATGAGATCCCCTTTCTTCCTTAGCCGTTCCACACGTGCCTCACCGCCGCTCGACACAAGCCCATCACCGCACCACCTCCCCAACAACCCTAACCTTAATCCCCTCACTCCCCAAATCCGGCATCCCCAAAAAACAATCATTACTCGTCAACACATCCCTCCCCTCCACCGTATCGAACACCTCCATCCGAAACCTCCGCCAAATCATCGCAAGCCCCATATACAATTCCGACGTAGCAAGATTCATGCCTAGGCAATTACGGCTTCCGCGCCCGAAAGCAAAGAGGTAGCGCGTGAGTTTGGGGTTTTGTATCCACCGCTCCGGACGGAAGGCGAAGGGGTCGGGGTAGATGGCTGGGTCGGTGTGCAGGAGGTAGGAGGATTGCATGATGGGGGTGCCGCGGGGGAGGGTGTAGGGGCCGTATTGTAGGGATTCGCCCGTGGGGATGCGGGGTTGGCGGGAGGAGACGCCGTGGGCGGTGCGGAGGCCTTCGTTTATTACTGCGGTCTGGGGGTTGGTTAGTTGGTTTGCGGGTGGGATATGGGGTTTGATCTTACCAGGTATGGCAGAGCTTCCAACTGTGGTAGCGAGACTTCGTGGTCAACTGTCGGCATCACGGTTTTCAGTTCCTGTCTCAACTTCTCTCCAACTTTCGAGTTTTTGATCAAGTAGTAAGTAGTAACCGCCAAAGTCCTGGCCGTCGTCTCCGTCCCCGCACCAAGGATAACACTAGCATCCGCCGTCAACCGCTTAGGATGTTTTTCTTTCTCCGGAAGTTTACAACCAACATCATCTCTTATGTCATGAAATATCGTTCTCCTCAGATTCTTCGTATCGCCATCGCCGTCCTCAAAGTTCATAATACGTTCAATCCTGCCCAGCGTCCTGAGACTGAAGGTGTTCACTGTGGCTACCCCGGGGCTTAGTTTCTCGACAATCTTTGGCGGAAGGTCGAGCATGAAGTTCATGATAGTAGGGAATTGGCGCGCAAATGGCTCGATCTGAATCCCGTCGTGCATAACCTTGAGCCAGATCTTGGCGTAATCTTCATGATCCAGAGCTTTTATCGACTCGCCGAAACAGTACTCGGAAATGGTGTCCATGGTGAAAGCGGCGTATGCGTCGTTGAGATTCACAACACCGGCTTTGTGGCCTTCCTTCTCAAGTTCGCCGGCGAAACGATCCATAAGCTTCTTAGTGTTATTTACGACGAGCTCTTCGAGAGCTTGGACCGAGCGCTTGCTGAAGAAAGGCGCTAGGGCAGTCCGTCGCAACTTGTGCAAGTCATGGTCTATGGTGTCCAGTATTGCGCCTTCCCAAGACTTTGCACCGCTATGAAACGACCAACTACAACGATCGCGTTTGTGACTCATGCCGGACGCGTAGATCGTGTCGAAATAATCTGCATCGTGGATATGGACTTGAAGAGGATTGATCCGTATAATAGGCCCTGTTGCTGCGGTCAGAGCCGTAAGGCAGGCATCATTAACCTTGGCTCACCGTATTCTTCATGTAGCTGCTTGATCTTCCACAAGTACTGAAATCTGTGCGGGTAGATCTCATAGTAGAATTCGTACCAGAATGTGAATGCGGCCAGCTACGTAGCATCAGTCATGATTTTGAGTCTTTCCTAGAACACGTTGTCTTCCGCGCGTACCTTTGACCCAGGGATGTCTGCTAAAGGATGGAAATACACCCTGTACACGCCGACGGCGAGCCAGTACAAGATCCATATTCCAATCAGAGACGCAGCGAACTCTTTCGATGCGCTACTACGCAGGAGATCCCAGAGGCGGTCCATGGTAAGTGCGGTGGATGATGTGCGGGGGGTCGCATCTTCCACGCGAGGGGGCCTTGGCAAGCCATATGTACACACGCTAGACTTCGCGCAGGTAACGTGAGACAACAACATAGTTTATTGGAACGCCAGCCAATAATAGTGTCAGCATATTCAGCAGGGCGGGATATGCAAGGGCGCCAAGACCATGCACACCGTTAGCGCTTACCACAACGCTGATACGTCATGCAGGCTACACAAGCCCGTTGCATGTGTGATTGCAATTAAGATGACTGGTTGGCGTTCCGAGATAGATGCTAGATTTGCCAATACATAGGTCCCTGTAGCTGGGTAGTCGGATACCAGCTGGTGTTGGGGTTGCACGAGATGCAAGTAGCGGGCAGCCTTGTGTTCCCCTCACGTGCTGTAGACTGGCAGGCACCGCAAATCATTCGTGGCGCTCTCGAAATGAGATTCGACATCATTCGTAGTGCTGGAATATTTGGGCAACTCGATTTCAGCAAGTTCGCATTGTTTCATACCCGTTGAACATCATGAGACATTATGCGCAGAGCTTCGAAGGTATCCGGTGCCCAGAATTTAGGCAGCATCCTTTTCTCTGTAGTCTTTGGCATCGGCTGAGCTAATAGACTAGTCCACTCGTAGCCTGGCCGAAGGACGACATATGCGCTGATGTGGCACTCGTATCTCCTGCGGATTTCGTAGGGTGGTGAGTCGAAAATCATATGGGACCTTTCATTAGCTCCATTCTGCGGGAATAGGTCTCAGCATACTTCTCCACACTCATTCGTCACGGGTGCACTTACTGTAAATATGTGAACGCTTTCAACAAGACTACCGCCAGTGTGTTCAAGAGAGACAATCCATCCGACATATTCACCTGACACATCTGACATGTAATATGATTTTGTTGTGTGTGTGACTTTGATCGTGATGACATCTTCTGGGACTGGGAACAGTTCCAGTCCTCGTTTAAAACGTTCCTTCTGGTATGGCAAGCAACAAGGTCGATAGAAGCCACGATCGTTTTGTCGAGCGCGTTTTGCAAGTGCTAAGCCGAAGCCGTTGATTAGAAAGACTTCTTCTTCGACCACGTCAGCGGTTGGACGCATAGCTGCCTCTTTCTCTATCATCCATCGCACGAGGCCCAGGAGATGATCATCGGCGGCTGTTGGTCCTTTCCAGTTTTCTTCAAACCACCCGACAATCTGGTCAAGGTTTGATTGGAAAGACTTGTCGTGCGATCGGCGAAGCCGCTGGCTGACATCTAGGGTACATCCGATGCACAAGGTCAGGACTTCGAAGAAGATACAACCCATGGAGAACATATCTGCTGAGCGGCCGCTAGGGGCAAAGCCAGCTACTTCCGGGGCAAAATACTTCGGTGTACCCCGATCCCCTTCATCGGTGACACTAGAAGTCAACACGGAGAAGTCAGTCGCCGTACCAAAGTCTGCCAGCCATAGCCCGTCCCTGGAAAGCAAGATATTGGATGGCTTCAAATCTTTGTGTTTGACGTTAGACGCATGTAGGTAAGCTACTGCGCTTGCTATGCAGCCAATTGTCTGTTTGAGGAAATGCCTGCCTGAGTGGCTGTCAATCTCCGGGTCTCGGGTCAGAATTCCAAGCGCGCGAAGTCTTGCTTCGCGATCGGCATCGTGTTCGGCTCTCCTTTCTGATAGCTCGAGTGAATCCACATTCTTGACCAAGACCATTTTGTGTAGCCAGTCCACATCCTCAAGAAGAGTCGCAAGATCGCAGGTCGCGATAGGCCACAATAGCAGCCCGAGGAATGGGCCTTGGCTGTAAGTCCCTACTAGCCGGATTATATGATGATGCGAAAGTTTTTTGATGATCTCGATTTCGCGCATCTCTCTTTCGCCTATCTTACGACGACAATATTTGCGTTTCCAAGCGAGTCTGATGCCATTGCATGTTGTCTCGTACACTCCGCCGTTCATGCCATGACCGAGAAACTCGCCTTCGGCTAGAGGAAGTGCTTCTGACTTGTGGTAATCAACGTGAGATGTGCCGCGGCCAGACCAATCCAGCCTTACGCCATCGATGTACTCGCAGGGTGGCTGGTCAGGGGTGTTTGATGTAAGCTCTTGTGTTGACGATACTTCTCTTTTTTCGAGATGACCTGAGGTGGTTGATGTACCGGACGACGACGAGCGAAGTCGGCTGGAGATGTTAAAGTTCGAGACGCGTTGAGACATGGGGGTGGTATGAGACCAGAGTGTTTGTAGAAAGTAGCAGGTCGTAAAACTTGATCAGGCTGTAGGCTTCGCTTCTTGGCTTCGCGGCGTGTGCTGACTGTCGACTGCGGGGTGCTCTTAAGCCACATCATGCAAGCCGGGGTCAGCGATACCCAACCAACCATCTGCCTCATCTGCATCAGCTATGGGCATTGCCAAAAGACTTCAAAAGAAAGCTCCTTTTGCGCCTGTGTTGGTCGGCTCGGCGCATAAGTGAATCCGGCAGCAAAAAAGGCAAGTCAAAAAGGAATTTAACAGCTGAAACTGAGGATTGAACTCAGGATCTTCGCATATCGTACGACATACGAGTGCGACGCCTTACCACTTGGCCATTCCAGCCGAGTTATTACCGAGCGTAGATTAATAAACCATATGAAGACTCGTTGAGGTCGAGGAGAAGGATTCAGCGCCAGTGTGACCGATATTTGCGGCGAGCGAAGTCGCTCTTCTCGGTGGATTTCACCTACTTGCGGATACTCGCCTTGTCCACATTACTGATCAATGCATCCCTCCACTCTTGATCCTTCAGTATACTCCGCACCCTAGCCTCCAGCCATTCGGTGTTTCCCCAGAAGCCCCAGCTAGCCTGGAAGCGGAGCCAATCCACGAGTGCTGTCTCCCAATGTCGTACGAAGATCGACCAGTTGTACTCTTGTTTGCCGGTCTCTCTCAACCTTTCCCAGTATCGTTGCAACAGCTGCTGCTCGCCTTCTTGCATGGGTAGCTCCCGCGGGATGTGCGAGTCGGCAACGAGCATGCTCAGCGGAACGGAGCATGTGAAGAACTTGGCGAGATCACAGACGCCGAGGCCAAGACCAGTATATTGGAAGTCGTAGAAGGCGACCTCTTCGCCCGACTTGCTGGTGAACATGTTTTCAGACTTGACATCACCATGGATCAGAGTTTGGTATGCTTCGATTGGTGACCGGCCGGCAGCCTTCGGTGAGAGAAACGCTGCCGCTATCTCGGAGATGGAGAGGTCCTCGCCATCAACCCAGTCTGTGAGTGGCTCATTCCACTCGGCGTCGTAATCCTTCGCCAAAGTATTGTACTCCTTGCGACGCGTCGCAAGATAGGTATATCCGCCATTGAGCCATACCGATTTGTTCGACGAGGCCTGTCCATAACGTTGTACTTCCTCGAGCGGTGGTAGGACCAGAGATGCAGAGTCTAGAGACTTGACGCGGGTCCACCAGAAGCCATGGAAGCCAGAAAGCCAGTCCAGCGCGGCATAAGCCTGGGTCGCTGTCAACACGTCGCGTTTCTCTCCAGCCACAGGATATTGTTGCTTCAGATTGCTCAATAACATCGCAGTCATCGAGGTGCCATCCGTGTTGTGCTTGTTGATGCTAGCGACGCATTCGGCGACCGGTAAAGTTGCTGGCATTTGAGGAGCGAGGTGACTGTAGAAGTATTGTTCAATCTGATAGCTCAGGATCTTTCTGGTATGCCCTTCGTCGCTAACCTTCGTCGGTGGGGGGTTTACAAGCTTGAGTACGTAGGATTTCGTCGAATCTGGCGAGCCTATCGGATTAGCGAAGACGCGACATATCTCGCCGTAGCCTGCCCATAACGACTGGATGGTTTGCAGAGATTGGAGTTCTAGTCCCTTCTCAAAAAGAAGGGCAGACGCTACTTCGTCTGGGGATACTCGTGCTGGCATCGAATCTGCTGGTTGCCGTAGACGGGCGTATAGAAGCGGCAGTAGGAGTATTGAGACACCAGGGACGAAGAAGCAGGCGAAAATCAGCTGTGACCGTGTGATCATCAAAAAAGCGAAGCAATGAACGTGGGAAGTATGTAATATAGGTGCATAGTCAAGGGGATAGCGTTGGTGACCACCCAGGCATGCTGTTGTTGCAAAAGTACGCCGAGGGGTTGAATGACGCGACGCGTCATGCTAGTCATGTGTGGCTGACATAAGCGAGTATCCTGAATCGAGCTCTCCGCCCATACACCTGGGCATGCCCCCACGCCTTATCTGAGTCGATACTGCCATTCGCACTTCCGGTCATCGCAAACTCGAGAGCCTCCGCACCACTGTAATTATGCTTACGGAAACCTGGCACGACATCGCTCAACATTCACGACGAGAATCACCGTGTTGACGAGACGCCAGATACACTCAAAATGGGCCATGCTGATTGACCAAACTCATGCATTGGTATCTACTACGAAAAAACGAACAACAGTTGAACAAGCTTTATTCGCATCTACAACAAGTATTGGAAGTAGATGTTCTCCTTGTCTGTCATGTCTTGCAGACCGTTCTCTCCGTGGACCTCGGCACCTGCCTCATGGAAATGGCCGCTCATCGAATAATCGATGGGGTTCCTGGGAAGACCAGCCGCCTCGCGCTGATCGCACTTCTTCTTCTGCATCCAGGTGATGAGAAGAACTTGAGCGACAACAACACCCCAGAGGATGCACCAGATGATCAAGATGCCCTTGAGAGCGTTGACCTAAAAACGTATTGTTAGCGATGAGACTTCGGCTGAATATACGACAGGATGGGAGATACTTACGTATTGCGGTTGGAACTTCGCATCAAAGATGTAAGGGGTGATGATGTTGCCTACAGCGTTGCCGGCGTTGAAAGAAGTGTAGTAGACGGCCTTCTTGGTTTGTCCGGCGCAGTTGGAACCCATCCAAGAGATGAGCAAAGGGTTAATGGCGTATACGAAGGCGATCAAATAGTAACCTGCGAGAAGACCACCCTTGTTGTCTGGAGTTTTTGGTAGCGCA